AGGGTTTAGGGAATTTAGGGTTCAGGGTTCCCAAACTCTAAACCCCAAATCCTAGACCCTAAAGGCCTGCAGTACCCATATAGGACCCCCTTTGGTAAACCTGGTAGATCCCAGAAAGGAACCCTTCAAGGAACCCTACCTAAACTCTAAACCCTATTCCCCCGTAGATCCCTTATAGATTCCTTATAGACCCCTTGAAGGAACCCTTGAACGAGCCTCTAAGGAACCCCAAAAAGAACCCTTTCAGGAACCCTAAACCCTAAACACTTTCAGGAACCTCAAAACCTTAAACAACAAACCCTGCACCCTAAACCCGCAACTCTGAGACTTCCCCCCGTGGGCCCCGGGCAGCTCGACGTCTTCGACAGCCGCCTTTGTGCAGTGCTGTTTCGCGTCTCGTGAACACTTGGAGGTTCATGGGTATAGGGTTTAGGGTTTAGGGTTTGGGGTTTAGGGTTTAGAGTTTAGGATTTGTTTTGTAAAGTTGGGTTGACTCATCCTTGTTACGCCTGTCGACAGTCGGGCTCCCAACTAGGTGTAGATGATATTATCAGCATCCACCGTCCTTACAACAGAGGGTTCGGGATTTAGGGTTTAGAGGTATAAGTCCCCCAATATGGATCGTAGTTCTGACTACCCTACTAATCAACCTACTATTACCCACCCCTGAACCTTCGTGAACAAGCTTGGGCCCATGGGAAAGGAAAGTCGCTTGTTCCGTGATTTGGCTGCTTGATGTTAATTCAAGTTGTCGTGCCTTCGGGTGCAAGGTCGATTCAATAGGTTTGAGTAGCTGGACGTTGATGTAACCGGGGAGAAAAATTTTGTAGCCGTTTATTTCATAATGGTGCCCTTAAGGAACAGGTACCAAAAACTATGTATTCATACTCCAGAACCGAGGTAAGGAGAGGGGCAAGAATCGGGGGAGACGCTTCCGTCCGACGGAAGCGTGCTGGCAGGCAAGAACTGTTTTTGGCGCGTTGGACTTCCGCAGTCTGCTAACCTGCGCGATGATGGCTAGAACGGCCACATAGTCAAAGACAGGGGAACCGCTGAGCATAATGACGTGGTTGCACATGTTCACCCGCCAGCCATGCTGGCTGCTACTTTACCGCTGCCTTACACACCCGCCACGAGTTTTATGCTGTTCTGTACTGCTTGGCACTGCTGATGATGAAAGCGCTGTTCAGGAACCCGACTGCCTCAGAAGATCACCGATTGTCACTTCGTCGAAAGCAGAACAGCAGATTCGTGAGCTCACCAGGCGGAAGCGGGGATGCTGAACAGTTGAGCACCCCGAACTTTAACAAGGCTACGAAGCTCTCGAACATATAAAGGTCCATGCCTTCCTTGTCACGCTCGATGATTCATTCCTATCCAGCTCCTGACCAAGATACACAGATGGATATAAATGCACAAACTCCTGCTTGCAGCGATCCGTCTAACCCTCCGCCTCAGATGCCGAATCATTCCATACCAATAGCCCAATTCTTTTTGTAATCCGGGTGCTGTAGCTGCAGTTCTATCGTGCCATACAAACCCTAAACCCTTAACCCTGAAACTAGAACCCTAAACCCTAAACCCTAAACCCGAAACCCGAAACCCTAAAACCCTAAACCCCTAAAACCCATAGACCATTGAAAGGCCTCCACCGTCTGCATCAAGGTCAGGCTCCGAAGCGGCTTCGGGCGCAGGGGCATCTGTCAGATGCAACAATCCCAGACCGCGTTGGTTTAGGGTTTAGGGTTTAGGGTTTGATGGCAAACTAGAGAATCAATAAATAAATGAGTACATAAATAAGTGTGTATATATATATATATACACATCTGTACAGATATATGTGTGTATATATATATATAATATACTATGCAACCTACAACATGATATAATGTTGACTCTATGTCATACATTTGTCCCCCCGGCCCTTCATAATCTTACTGCGCCGCCTCGTTGGGTAACTGGTGCCGCGCATTAAGAGGAAGGGCTAACAACACCAGACATCTAAGTGCCATTAGGGGCCTAAATAATTGCCAATACTATTCACTATTCTGGGGGTTCCTTTATGCCTCAAAACCTATTCTGAGAAAAAAAAGGCCCCTACATTAGCGACGGCCATGTTTCAGCTCGAGGTCTCGGACCAGATACGCGTCGCTCAAATCGGGGACACACACGCGAATCCGGGACAAACACGCGAGACGAGCAGCGCATCGACGCGCTTTTTTAGGGTTTAGGGACCAAGATCAGTCAAGATGGATAGTGCGAGCATTGCAGCGAGGTCATCAAGCCACTGCGTTAGCACCGGAGGATCGCAAACCGAACAAGACCGGTCCCAGCGACGGTCTGATTTTGAAAAGAGATGAAAGCTACATACACACATCTACCTCTGCTGAATGCTATGATGCTTGCAGAAGTACCGAGACTCTGTAACCTGAACCCTTCTGGGCCCAGTTGCCCTCTAAAGGCGCCTCCTGAATGAGCTTGAAGGCAAAGTGCTTGGGCAGCACATGTGCTCCGTCCTTCTGCGGGCTTAAGTTGCCTCTACTTGTTACAAAACCAACCCGTGCTCCCATTTCAACTTGAGGACGGGGAGGGGGGGGGCGGGCGGGTGAAACCCTGAACCCTGAACCCTAAACCCTAAACCCTAAGCCCTAAACCCTAAACCCAAACCCTACCCTAAACCGGGTTGCTCAGATGCCCTCAGCCCGTAGCTTCTCGCTCCTGGTAGCAATCCCTAGACCCGCTCTCTCTAAGCCCTGGGCTCCACAGCGTCTACTTGGAGGTTCATGGGAAGTCATAAGTAGGGTTACCAAACTTATAACCCATATTAGGGGACCTAAAACACCACTTATAACTACCCATGAACATCNNATCCAAGTAGTCATCCTGATTTTCTTGGTTTATAACGCTAGTAATGCGTGTTTATGTTGGAGATATCGCGAGAAGAATCCTTGCAGCCTGCGGGTCAGGGTCGGCTTCAGGCCAGAACCCCTCGGGTTTTGTTTGGGGTTTAGGGTTTA